AAAAGAAACTGTAAGCATAGAACTTACGGTAACATTTAGCCAATTCAACTGTAAAATGATGAGATCTTGCCGCCAATTTAGTACTTCGCTTACATTCATAGAGTCGATGTATCACAGTGGAAAACACATCAGAGCAATTACGATGAAAACATTTATAGAAAAAAAAAGGGGGGAAGGTAGATTATGATGGTAGGAAAATGACCAAAGCAGACACGCCAGGTCAGGACCTATAACATCGCAGATTCTTTCCATGGATTTCATCAAGAATTTCTAAATTCCTAGCAGAAGCACCAGACCAATTGTGGTAGTAATATGCAATGCATGAATACAAAGTCGACTTATAAATATGTAATATAGATACGGGTGAGAAGAAAATATCTATCTCGACACATTAAAAGAAATATTTTCCTGGCAGCAGACCTACGAATTGATTCAATATAATCCTTTCACCTCATGTCACCTCATAAACGTTTGCCTGAGTAGACGCAATGAGTTCCTCATTAACTGAAGATTAGCATCGGCCATGATGATGGAGGACAAAAAGTGTTTAAATGATTAAAAGAGGGCAGTTTAGTTTTACACCATTTAACAAAAGATTTTGGACCATTTTTTTTTAATCAGCTGCTAAATCGACGTGATAGTCTTACCTTTAAGACAGCTTTAGATACTTGTATCAACAGGATAGACAGCGATCAAGTTTACTGCAGATGGTGGGATGTTGTGTTCAGTTCTCAAGCGAAAGTTCATAAGGGTCACAACTTCCTTCTTTGTAGGTTTTTCTAATTCGATTGAGATCATCGTAGACACCTGAGAAAGAAACAAAGTTGCTGTATGAAATCTCTGGTGCTTTGACATGAATCCAATTCAATAGTCTCTTTCAAAAGTTTTTCGAATCAGAGTAGGTCTACTTTTAGAGCAAGACTTTTTGGATATATCGCAATTGTCCTTCATAAAATTTTAAAGCCACAAGCCTTCATTGCATCCGTATAATATGCACGAATGTTTTGTTTTAATACCTATGTAGTAGTCCTTCACTTTCGGCATTGATAGTTGATAAGTCGTCGGTTTTATGTCATATCCAAAAAAATTAATTTCTTCTTTGCTGACCGCTTCCTTTATTGTGATGGTGTTGATGACTAAATCGATCAATTCTTGCATGGTCGATGGCATTTGACTGTAAGGTAATGTTGGAGAAGAACGAAGTCGATTTTGTCGAGACTTTCTCTCTTTTCATTTGACTTATTCCTTTTCTTTTCTGCTGGCTTCGAAGTTTTTGCTTCCGAGGGTCATGGAACACCGCCATTTTGTTCGGTCCTGAGATTGTGTTTCAAACGATTTAGACTCAAGTCCAGTCACTTTCAGTGTTGTTTTGAGTTGGTCCTTGTATCTTCGAAAAGGGCAACCTCGTCGTCTTTTCCCTGGAGTGAGCTCACTGAATAAGACTTGACGTGGGAACCTTGATTCTTCCATTTTTGCTACATGTCCTGACCATCGTTTTATGATCAGCGATTCGATGCTTTGATTGTTGGCTCTTTCCAGAACTTTGTTGTTTGTCACATAGTATGCCCGTTGGATTTTCAAGTTTAAATGAATCATTTTTATTTGAAAGCGTTATAATTTTTGGATGTCGCGACCCTATTGCTAAATAGTAGCCAGGTTTCTCAGCCCTATAACAAATTTGAAATGTCAACAACATTAGAAACCATAACGAATTCATTGCAGCTTCAAAATGAATCCATCCAGTAAACAATGTCAAATATGGCGTTAAACTTGGAAATGCATTCCATAAGACACTTTGTCACATAGACCCCGATCTAAAATTAAAAGTTACTATTAATACAAATCTAAAAAGTTTAAAAAATACAAATCTTTTATGTATCTACACAAAGTCTAATCATCCCCCATCTATAATAAAACACGAACCCTCATCCATAGAATATAGAATTAGTAGTGCTCTTCCAATGAAGATATATTTTATAAACACTGTAATTTTTATAAAAATGCTCTAAAAATAGTGGATATAAATGCCCTGATATCAAATACAGAAAAGATACTATTAATAAAAAAGAATAGAAAGAGAAAAATTATTTGGTATACACCCCATTTAACCAAATACTTAACTGTAAGATAGGACAAAAGTTTCTTGCATTGATTGAGAAAGATTTTCCGAGTAATAATTTTTTTTAAAAAAACTCTTAAACTTAAATAAAAATAATTCCAAAATGGAAATCAGTAATTTTGAAAATAAATTATGTAATTGTAGAAATCCCATTGAAAACAAAAATCTTGCTCAATCTATTGTTTATCAATGCATTATTTCATCTACTGAAAACCCAGATGTTAAAAAATTTTATATTGGATGCACAAAAAATCTTTTAAATTAAGATGATAGTAATATATGTCTTCCTTTAACAACATGTACCGTAACTGAACATTCCTATATTTTTGGTATTTAAAAGAAATCAATGAAACCCCCACAGTAAAATGGAAATTAATAAAAAAAAAACGAGTATAAGTAAGTCCTTAAATGACCTATGCCCCCTGTTTCTACATGAAAAACTATATATTATTAAGTTTCCTAAAAACAATGATCTATTAAATCAGCGTAATGAACTGACTGTAATATGTAGGGATTGTACAATGTTTACCTTACGAAATAGTTAATGGATTTTTCATAAAAATAATCTATATATTACAATTATATATCCATTATTTTATTATATACATATATATAATAGTACATGTAATATTGATTTAATTCCTTGACTTTTTACTTTTAATATTGCCATGTATAAGGGTCCATTAAATAAAATAAGCATTGGATTTTAGGTTCAAAATTATATAAAAATGATTTAATCATGTCATAGGGCCCCTTTATGATAGTTATAAAATATATAAAAATAAATATTTAAAAAATAAAAATTAACATATTTTTAGAGATATGAATTATCTCTCAGATTATTTCTTCGTAATTTAAATGTATATTCTTTACCGGAAATATGAAGTCGTCTCTTAATATAATAGTTCTCCGAAACATGTATGAATACCCCCACCCCGCCAACAACTAACCTATATTTTTAAATTTTTTGCGTTAGTTTTGACCTGTCTTCTGATTAGTCAAAAGAGACACACCCATAAGGTTTTAAAATCTGGTTCCCCTCTCCTTTCCCTTTTCTATTTAATAATCAAATGTGTTGTTTTCTGTTTTCAAAAGTAAATCATTTCCATCAAATTTACCGAACATTGCCTGATGATGGGATAAAAAAATTTAAGTCCCAAAACAGAAATTTCCGTGTCGCAATGTAAAATACTTTTAAATAAAAATATCATTAAAAATATTATGCTCAGCGTTGTATTGAGCCCTTTTTAAAAAAGTAAATGTTAAAGAACTGTGGATTCTAAATCTGTTTGATCTTTCTCTTCATTTGAATATATATATATATATATATATGAGAGAGAGAGAGAGAGAGGTGAAATTATCAATATACATTTAATGAAGTCTTGCAATGTTCGCATTTGGCAATGCTATCTCGCAGATTTTGCTATGCTAAATAATTGATTTAAACTTTGATTTATATATTTGTATGGAGGGTAATAAAAATAACTTTATTAATAAGTGTTCTTGTAATTAGACTGACTGTATAATTGATTTTCAGATATGGTGATTTTTTAAGCGTGGGTTAGATTGAGCATATACCGAAAGTTTAGGGCACCCAGTGAAGATCGAACTTACTATTCAGTCGTACGAGACAAGCTTGTTAATGACAAAATGCCCAAGTTATTTTCTAAACATAGTTTAGATGTGGCACAAGGCCTAAAGTGTGGGGCACTCTTGAGAATCGAGCTCACTACACTGTCATAACTGATCTAGCGAGACAAGCCACACCATAACGAAGTTCATATATGGAATAAATACGTTTTACTTGATGGTAATATGGTTGAATTGCCAAATACACATGCGCTGTGTACACCAAAATGAGACGCCATTTTACAGTTAAATTGCACGTTCTATATACTTTTTCATATGCTGATATTGAGAAAAATATTGCACGCACTCACAAGAGAAATGTGAATATTTTTCAATTCACTATCATTTATCGTAGTTATAATCATATTCTCCACTAACACATAGCAATATCTCTTTTTGAAGCGAAAGAATTTATTAGATTTATGAATATTTTTCTTAGTCTTTTCTATGGAACCTACGCTATCATGCCATAATTCAATATTCAAAATGGTTTCACAAAGCAGATGTGATTGTATTGTGCGACGTTCTTGTATGGACCCTGTTACTTCAGGACGTTGATGATAGTGGCTCTCCACAGTTTCCTGTCCTTTTTAACTCTTAATAAACTTTCTCTTTCTGTTATCTGCCAAAAACCTTGCCCCCCACCATCCATTTACTGAAGCTGGTTAGGTAATTTCTGCGCTGTTATTCCTCTGTCTCTCTTGCTTTCAATCTGTCTTGTGAGTATCAAATTCTCCAAGCCCTCTGTCCTCATTATGAACCCTAGTAATTTTAGCTGTCTCTTCCTGATGCTAACCATAAGTAAAAAATTTGTTTTCATTTTGTCAAAACCTTTTTCGGTCCATGTCATTCTCAGCATTCTTCTGTAGAAACACATTGCTATTGCTTCAAATCTCTCCTTCATTTTTGAGGAGATTGTCCACTATTCACTAGCATATCGGACTGATATTACATAATAAGTCGGTACTCTTTTCTTTATTTCTAACGAAATTTATCTGTTTCTTAATACTTTGCTTAGCTTTTGGAAGGTACCTTTCACTATTCTAATGCGCATTCGAATTTCAGTGTTGCATTTTCCAAGATATTTAAATTTTTGTATTTTTTTATTTTATTTTGGTCTTTCCAATTTGTAATTTATATGCCAGGCTGTTCGTTTTGTTGGCTAATTAGGGATGCACTGCTCATTATTTACCGGAAGAATTGCATCTCGTTCTTTTTACACCTGAAAACCACATTTTGATATTGTTCTTACTTTATTCGAAACTTTAAAATGATTCCTTGGGGGAACGGCCAACAAATGTTTGGCCATAACAAATGAACAGTCATATCTGTTGGAAACGGGTTTGTAGACTAAGAGATATTTAATGAGATAATCGACGTGAAGAAAAATGTAAGCGTGAATAGATTTTGGTGATGGGGGGGGGGAGATTGAATGATAATGATTTTTTTCTTTTGATACAAGAAAATAAAATTAAAAAGAAAAGAAAAGGAAATAAGGTAAGAAAAAGACGAAAAAGTTTATTAAAAAGAGAAAAACAACTGAATGTAGGAAATTAAGAAGATTGAAGAGAAAAAAAAACAAATATAGGGAGGGGATGGGAAAGGTATCACTGATACTTTTGAAAACAATTAGGAGGATGGATAAATGGAAAGAAAGAAAGAGAGAAAGAACAAGGTACCAATGACTGATATATGTTAAAAAAGAAAAACAAAGGTGATAAATGTGAAGACAGAAAGAAAAAAAGAAAGAAATGATAAGAAAGTAAGAAAAATTAAACAATGATGACAAAATATAAAGGAAAGGGAAAGGAAAAAGAGAGAAAAAAAACAATAGAAAGAAATGGAAGATCAGTGAGTATGAAAGAAAAATCCTTTATTGAATTAAATACTTAAGAAAATTAAAGTAAAAACAATCAAACTGAGGAATATAATGAAACACTGATTGGAAAAAAGAATCCAATGAATAATATAGATTATTCATTCTGTTAGAATTCATAATTGATAAATATTTCTTTAAATTAGTAACAAAAAATATATGTCTTAATTCAACCAATGAACGGATCAATTGAACACTAAAGCTTTTACATAACTTTCCCGCTCATAATAGCAAATAAACCACTGGCAACAAATTTTTATTGGATTTTTTTTTTTTTTTTTGTTTCAGTCATTTCTTCGATTCTTTTGCATGACCTACGCAACAAGAAATTTTCTATAGCAAAGTAAATGTTCTTAAGCACGACAAAAATGCATAAGTGCATTTAGTACTTACTGCAATTAACTTTATACAAAATATGTTGAAATCCTGTGCTTTTCAAGAGATAAATATTTCGGTGAAATGTCTTTTTAAACTGCCATTGTACATGTTTTAATTCACAAACTACTGTGAGTAAATACGTTATATCGTCATTTCTTCAGTAATGTGTTTTATAAAACAAATTAAGTTAACAAATAAATAACTATTAACATACACACACAGATATATATATATATATATATATATATATATATATATATATATATATAAATGTCGAATAGTTATCGGAAGTCGAGACAGTGTTTCATCATATTTGAATCACTCATGAGGAATCGGTTTGAATTACTGTTATAATCGCCGAATAAATATATTTTAAATAAAACAGCTTAATTCTGTTATCACAGGAACCGTTATTATCGAATCTTCTTCTGAGGGATTCAAATGAAATAAAACACTGTTTTGACATTCGGTCTGTATTAAACGGTTTTACGTAAAATAATGAAAACCTTCTCTAATTTTAAGGTTTGAATTTCCTTAGGAAATGTTTTCCTTATTGCAATATATTTTAAAATAAGGTCAATGTTATTTTTAACTGGTGCCTGATTTTTACCAAAGAAAATCTCTCTCTCTCTCTTCTCTCTCTCTCTCTATATATATATATATATATATATATATATATATATATATATATATATATATATATATATTGTAACACAATGTTATTATCTATCGGGTGGCCGTTTTTAAGTAAATTCTCCGTTTACTTTAAGAGTATTTATTTTGTCTGCTGTCCTACTTACACGAGAAAGAAAAGCTTAGAATCCATCGGTTTCAGACCTGCGTCCATATATATATATATATATATATATATATATATATATATATATATATATATATATATATATATATATATATATATATATATTCCTAATGGATAATACATCCACAGGTAGATTTGTACTTGATTCACATGATACCTATTTCTTACAAGTTTCTACAACAATGACATCATTTTCGGGAATATTTCAGAATTTTTAACGAGTCATTCATCTTAATGTATATGAACATCTGACCTACAGGGAATGTGTTGATAGAAATAAAAGGAAAATATATAATTACCTGTAATATTATTCTGACATTTCAGATTCTAAGAATAAATGAGTAATTTTAAAGCGTATGTAAACATTTGGCTTCAAGTATTTCCAACTCTCTCTCTCTCTCTCTCTCTCTCTCTCTCTCTCTCTCTCTCTCTCTCTCTCTCTCTCTCAAACAAATAAACAAAACTGGTCTCTATTAATTACCACAGCCACCCCATTAGAATGTCTGATAGTCAACTTCTTGAGAGCAACTCTCTGCGTCTGCTAGGTCTCACGTTGACTGCTGACCTGAGATGGGACAAATACATTGAGTCAATTGCTTCGTCCACCGCAAGGAAAGTTGGCTCCCTTTGCCGCGCCAGGAATTTTTTCTTCCCGGAATCGATCCTTCAAATCTACAAATCAATCATTCGCCCTTGCATGGAGTATTTCTGCCATATATGGTCTGGAGCCCCTTCTGTTTACCTCGAGGATATGCAATATAATTGGCCCTGTTCTGGCATCTCGTCTGCAGTCTCTCTCTCACAGATGTGCCGTCGCCTCTCTCTAACTTTTTTTCAAATACCTTCATGGTAATTGCTCCGATGAGCTGATTTCGCTGGTTTCCAGGCTTCATGAGTTCAAGCGCCCTACGAGGCTGGCATCCCGCTCTCAGCCTTTCACTGTTGAAACTGTTAAACGTAGTCGCCTCTTCTACTCCAGTAGCTTCATGTCTCGCACCTCTCGCCTGTGGAACTCTCTTCCCTACTCCTATTTCCCTGATAGCTTTAATCTCCAACTATTCAAATGTAATGTCAATTGACATCTCCAGTTGCCTTGATCTATCCACTATCCTCCTCATCATCCTCTCCTCTATCATTACTATCTGCTCTCGCTCCAAATCCTCTGTAACCCCTTGCGTACTAGTGGCTTCCCGCCTTGCAAGGGGTGATAGATAGATAGATAGATAGATAGATAGATAGATAGATAGATAGATAGATATGAACAGAAATAGATAGATACTTTTTAAATTGCAAAAACGTTTGCTCCAGGAACTGTCTACATCAATTTCAGTTGGCATATGGCGTCTAAAGTTTGTGTATGATGCATAGACTAAACAAAACCTCTGAAAACAAATTTCTGCATGTGAATAAATACAATATTGACAGAGCTATATACACTTAGGGGAACACACGTATGACATCCACACCATTTTTATATAAATACAATTTCTATCCCACCCACCCCCCCCCTCTCTCTCTCTCTCTCTCTCTCTCTCTCTCTCTCTCTCTCTGTGCGCGTGCGCGCGCGGGAACGTGTGTGTTAAAATGGCGTCATAAGAAATGTAAGCAGAAATACAAAAAATGGCTATCTGCTGAAAATCAACCAGTGATAATTATCTCGCGTTCAGTTTTTAACGTGTTTGCCATCATCAGGGTCGATTATGTCTGCCTTTACACCCACTCGGTACTCATTGCCTCTCCTTTTCACACTTTTTTTTATTTTCCTTTATTTTCGTCTTATTTTGTATTGTTTTCTCTTGGCTTCGTGAGGTTAGCCACACACTTGGAGACTATCAATAAAGAAAATACAGTTACACTGCATAGTCTAAATTTCTCTCTCTCTCTCTCTCTCTCTATATATATATATATATATATATATATATATATATATATATATATATATATATACAGGTAGTGCAAAAGTAGTTATACAGTAGTGAAAAACAACATATATATCATTTACACATTCCCAGAAAAAAAGTCCATGCTGGTGAGATCGGAGAACTTACTCTATGCCGACTTATATATATATATATATATATATATATATATATATATATATATATATATATATATTTATACAGTGCTGTTCGATAAAAGTGACTCACCTTATCCTTTGAATTTAGCTCAACTTTCGTTTCATCGGAGAAGAGAATATTCTTCCAGTTTTCTACGGTGAAATGTTTGTAATAGTGAGCCCATTCAAGTCTCTTGGCTTTATTGGCTTTGCTTATTAGCGGCTTAAACCTTCGTGTACAAGATTTGTAGCCTTGTTCTAACAGCCATCGATGGACTGTTGAAGAGACAAGACTAACACCTTACTCTTCGCTTAGACTGGCTGCAATTTCTTGGCTAGTTAGTCCTATTCTTCACATCTTCTCTCTTGATTACCCAGCCAGTTCTCTCACCAATCTTTTTCTTTCGTCCTCTTGTTTCCTTCCTTGGAGCAGGAGTGGCATCATTATGTGCCCTAAGCACTCGAGAGAGGTTATAGCAATTTCTACAATTTCTCTGGTAGACTTGCCTGCTTTTGAGAGGGCAATAATAGATGCTTTATGTGGTCTTAAGTGGCTATTTCAAACTGTTTTTATACTCTATGAGGCTTTTTGGAATATTCTGTAATAATCTAGAAATAATTTAAGCTGTTCTAGAATTCTCTAGAATAATGTTTGAGTGTTTGTAAAATAGTGTTCAATATTTTGTCAAAAGCTCTTTAAATTTATCAGTTTAATCATTAGAATGCGATATCTGAGTCACTTTTTTTGCACAGGGTTTTTTCCTGAATCTCATTTATATCCAAATTTATAATTATCAATAGAATACCTTAGGGTGAATACACTTTTTCCTAGGTGGTCAGGAAGGGGTCTTTACATTAGTAAGATTAAAAATTAATTAACCCCCAAAACAATAGACAAAAAATAGTTTTAGTAAAAAGAAAATCAGGTGAGTCACTTTTATCGAACAGCACTGTATATACATATATAAGTACCTGGCACATAATATAAAAATAATATATATATATATATATATATATATATATATATATATATATATATATATATATATATATACACTTATCCCACACACACACACACACACATATATATATATATATATATATATATATATATATATATATATATATATATGAAATTCCGCTACTGCGGTTTCAACTTTTCGGTATCTTCAGGAGATTTCGGTTAATTGATTTCCTAACACTTTAGTTTTGTTTTTTGGGGTTTTTTTCATAAAAAAAAAGTTATGAACGCTATATTTTTAACAAAATAAATAAATAAATAAGCACACCACGTGATTTGTGTTAGAAAGTTAGGAGGACGACGACGAGGAGAAAGAAGAGAAAAGCAAGTGTATTGGAAATATATCGGTGGTGGGGGGGGCAAATAAAATATACATACTTTCTTTTTATCCCACTTCGTATAAACTCAAAAGGAACTTTTTAGTATGTATACAACGGGTAATAATTTCCGATCTCTTATTCAAAAGATTTTTTTTTTGTTTGGAAATGTTATTATAGCTTAACTTTCCTTGTGGACAAAGTTTGCAGATATTGCTATGATTGCTGTAAGGTTTGGTTGTTTTTTTTAAATTTTTCACTTTACAATCGGATCGGTTTTTTTTTTTTCCTTTAATTTTCACACATGGCTGGTTAGTCTAATATAATTATAAATAATACATACTAAAAAATTCCTTTTGAGTTCATATGAAGTGGGAAATTATGTTTTTTTTTTTCATTTAATCCCCCACCAATAGATTTCCAAACATTTGCTTTTCCCCGTCCTCTTCCTCGTTTTTTACCACATTTCACGTCGTGTGCTCTTATTCATTTATTTTTAATATAGCTTTCATATATTTTTTTTTATTTTTCCTTTTCAGTTAGGAAATCAATTGGTTGAAATCGCCTGGAGATATTGGAATTGGCGGATCTCCTAATATTCTATATTTAAAATCTATACATGTTAAATTTTTCCTTGTTTTAAATTTTAAATGTTTTCTGGTCTAATTCAACTCTGAATTAACATTATTATATATATATAAAGAGATAGATAGATAGATAAATAGATAGATAGATAGAGAGATAGAGAGATATTATTGAAAACAACAAACATTTTGAGTCGATGAATTTTACTGATCCTTCTCAGACAGGAATTTTTGTCAGAAATTTGGACTAATGTGCGTTTTGACGTAGGCAAAATGTGGTGTGACGTAAGCAAGTTGTGGTTTCTTTTTCTTCATTCTTTTCTTGACTCAGGTCTGCTTCTTTCTTTTTACTAGTTACTTTGTATGTTTGTTTTTCTTTCTGTTCTGTTCTCTTTCTTCTTTTTCTTTTTAGTTTTCTTCCTTCTTTTTATCTTTATTTCGCTTTCGTCTCTTCCTTTTTTTCTGCTTATTCACCTTTACTTTTTATTCGTTTGCTGTCTTCGTCATCTTCTACATTTTCTTCTTCATGTTTTTCTTCATATTCCTTTTTGTGTTCTTTTTTGTCTGTGTTTTATATATTCTTATTTATATTTTCTTCTTTCGTCACATTCTTTTTTTCTTCGTATTTATTCCCATTTTTCTTCTTCTTTATATTGTCTTTCATATTTATCCCCTCTTCTTTACTTTTTTCCTCTTTTAATTCTCTTTGACCTTCTTTTTCAAGATTAATAATTTAATTAAAATTGAAAATTTATATGGATTCTCAGTTCCAAAATTTTAGCAGCCAGCAATGTCTTCTTTCACGGCCGCCCCAAAATAATATATAATGTACATGTTCAAAGCGTTAAATCATTACACAAACACACACAAACACAACCTCACACACACACATACACACACACACCCTCACATACATACATACATACATACACACACACACACACACACACACACATATATATATATATATATATATATATATATATATATATATATATATATATATATCCATTAATGTTTTCCAGAATGAATATGTAGCTATTCCTTGAAACGTTTAAAAAAAGCTCCTGTTATTTGTAGATTACACGAACACAAATATTTGTTTCATTTTCTTAATGCAAAATGATTGCTCTAGAGGTAACTGCGTCCCCGATAAAATGAATGATTATGCCGGATATACAACCTCTATTCTAACAAGACTGGTGACCATACATTTCTCTGACCAAAGCTCCACATGGGTACATTTAAACTCGTATGTAACTGCACCAACATTGTAAAACGATATACTTGTGGAGAAGACAAATATGATACCTCTAACTGCAAAAAGTGTTTAAAATAATGGAAGGTGTTATATATATATATATATATATATATATATATATATATATATATATATATTCATTAATGTTTGCATCACCACTTGGCAGAAGAAATATGTAGCTATTCCTTGAGACGTTAAAAAAACATTCTTGTTATTTGAAGATTAAACGAACGCAAATATTTGTTTCGTTTTCTTAAGGCAAATACATAAACTCTGTTAAAACAAACAATAAAAAAGAGACTGGATGCTTTCTAGGATGTCAAGCGTAATTTTTTCTTGACTTCCTATAGGAAAATCTGGAAGTTATGTTTTTGTCATTTTTTTTTAATTTAATACGATATGTCTAGAAAACTATTTTTCTATTTTGCATCCAAAAATTTTTACTTAAAATCTCAGTCAAAAGACGCGGAATTCTATGTAAACCTATGTAGTATCACGTAATATTATTCGAAATGAAATTCATAAACAAAATTTTTTAAACCTAGGAAGATCTTCTTGATTAAGGTGACCATATAAAGACTTCAAATTTAAAAAGAAAGAAGCATTCTTTAGGGTTATATCTTCTTGTATTCAGATTTTATGCTACTAAATGTTCTAGTAAAATTGATATTAACTAATCGATTTTGGTAGAATTTTTGTTTTTGGTTCTTTTGTGATTTCTGTTCCAATTTTTCCCAATTTCTATTTTTTTTCCCTATCATTCAATAATTTTAGAATATCTTGTTTCTCTCTTGAATAAAAAATAATAAACCAGTTTGTCTGAAATGATCACAAGTGGGAAATCCAGGGTTACAAACTTACAACTGAATATGTCAGCTATGTCACAGATATTGAGCACTTTTCACTAAGTACCGCGCATAATAATGTTCTCACATTATCCTCCATATTCCGACATAGTAGGAAACCATAAAACTATTTCTGCATACACTAACACACACACACATCTACACGCACACACATACGAGTGCGCGAGCGCGCGCTCACACACCTACACACAAATAAAATAATATTCTTGTAAATTGAACGTGCTGGGATTGC